TGAATGATCAACAGGGCAGAAGGGATAGAGGAATGGCAGAGCTGTCTGAATGCTTCTTCCTTCTACATACAGTATACTGTGCATCCCACTGCAGGGCTGCAAACAGAGATAGGAGAGGGGGGCTGCTGCTTTGGGATGCTGCCCCATGGACCAGGCAGAACTTTGCTAGAGATGGAGGTGGGGCTTGTGTTTAATCCTTACTTGGAGCAACTGAGCCTACAGACCACAAAACCACTCTGGATTAGAAGAGTAAAGAAAGCAAAGAGCTCAAGTGGAGGCTGTAGCCAGAAGTAAACTTCAAAAGCTGCCTCACAGCTGGCAGAGAGGAGATTTCCCAGTAATCAGAGAGGAAATGGTGCTGTTCACTCAGATCGGGAACTTACTTGACATTATTGGGCTAAAGAGCAAGACTGATAGAAGGGCATTATCTCCTGCTCAAACTGATTCATCTTTGATACCGATTTAATGCCTCATGAAGGAGACAAGCTCCCTCTAAGAGTGACCTCATTCTAGCTTAAGATTGGCTTTATCCGGATACATTCTGGAGGCACTGGAGATCTCTCAAGTATTTGCATTTTTTTGATGGACAGTTTGACCTCATAAGCTAGCTGACTCATTAAGTCTTTAAATAACTACTTTAGTTAATGAGTAAATCAGCTTTTTCATCCCTCTTGATTTTTGGTATTTAAAAAAACACATGAGAATAAGTAAAGCCCTTTAATATATGCAGTACCATTAATCATTAGGAAGAATGAGATAGAAGTTTCTACGCCACAGGGGAAAAAAAGAAAAGGCATAAAGAGGAAAGGTAACATCTACACATCTTTATGCAGAAGCCGTGCAGACACAAACAGCTGAATGTCAACAGGCTTTGCAGACAAATTGCTATATATAACACACCAAGTAAAGCTAGCAAAAGGAAGGGAAAATGGGTCAAGTGCACAGTTTTTCTGAGTCTTACCCAAAGAGGTCTCTGCACAGAAAAAGTGCAAAAATGAAAGGAATCAGAGAAAAAAAAGAAAACCAACATGAAATCTTACGCAAAAGCTGTGAACAATGGTGAACAATGCAAAAGATCATGCCTAACAGTATGCGTGGCTCAGAGGAACAAACATACAGGACTGGTGAAATAATAACAAAAAAAGCCAAACCACATTCTAAAGACAAACAACATAAAAAGAGGATTTACAGATTCTCCTCTACTGAAATGTACCTGTGTCAACTTAAGAAATGTTTCAAAACAGTATTCATTAGTAGGGAACACCTAACATTTGTTAAACAAACTTTTGTTTTTAAAGTAATAGCAGAAAAAAATCATAGATTTTCAGCACAAGTGTCTTTTCCATAAATTTACATAGAATAGATTTATTCCTCAATGGGACACAGAAAAGAGAAATACAAGAGAAAACACTGATTACACATCAGTTACCCTCTACAAGTCATTTTTCCCATTGATGCCATCTGTCTTGGCCAAGAACCAGATTCTCATAAAATCATTTAAAACTCATTCTTCTATTGTTTCAGCAAACCTTATCAGAACTCTATTTCTAAAATGTATTCATATCAGATACTATATTTAGCTTTCTTTAAAAAAAAAATACTTAATTCTATCACCCGAGTTAAAATTTTAACCTCAGCCTCCCTTATGGCAACACACAGAAATTCTTGTAGACCACTGGAATGTGGATAAATTGAAATCGTTGCTCCTATCAAACCTGCTTACAGAGTTATTCTGAAATTAATAGCCTGGGATACTTCTAGTTAACAGTCCTTTTAAAAGAAAAAAAAATAAATGACATGAAAAAGTATTTGTGCCATCACTTTATCTGTAAGTAGTAAAACACTGATCAGTCCATACTGACATCAGGAGCTGCATTATTAGTAGTCTACAATCATTCAAATATTCAGACTAGTATTTTCTACTATATTTTTTCAGATATAAGCATGGTTTGCATTAATAAATAAAAAAGTATCGTGACAAATTATAAATATCATGAGAAATTATTAAAATTTAACAAAAAACAAATATTTAAGAGGAAATAAAAAACTCACTTGTATGGTTTCTGAGGCAGAATACTGATTCGAGTCTTGTCAAGTATCTTCTTTAATTTATTTCTTCCCCCAACTGTGTTGGCTTTACTTTTCTTATTTACTTTTTCTAATCCTATTACCTGCTCCACATCAACAGCAAGGTCTGGGATGGAATAACGACTTGCCTTTTTAATATCACCAATTTTAGGCAGGTGGGGAGCACCATTTCTTTTTTCCTCTGACAACCGTGTCAAGAGTTCTTTAAAAACTGCACAAGACAGGAAAAGGGAGGAAAGAAAAAGAACAAAAATGTAAAAGAAAGCTCTGTGCATCAGACCAGTTTAATATTAATCATTATAAAAAACTGATTAGGATATTCTGTCAATTCAAGTGTTAAATGAATTTAGATAAAAGATTTAAAAAAAAATAAATTAAAAAGGACATTCATTTTCCGGAGTATGAAACAGAAAGTCAGTAAATTGGCCCAGCTCAGAATAGAAATACACTAGATGACCACATGGTTGCCTGGATGGTGTCAATAGGAGAATTTTGACTTTTCAACCTAAGGACAGAGGCTTTTGCAGAACAGTATCACACATAAAAAAAGCACACTAGGCAAACATGAGATAGGAAAACTTCCAAGGGAGAAGGAAGGTTTCAAAAAGATAACAAGCAACAAAAGCTCTCAGATGGACAAGAAATTATTAGCAACAGGAATGAAGAAATCAGAGGGGAAACTGCAACAAAGTCATAAGGAAAAGATAAGAAAATATGAGACTACTGAGACACCTTGGATGTTTGACAGGGCTGTTGTGTCCATCTGTCAGATAAACAAAAACCCTCTTGGACTCTCATCTCCGTCGCAAAGAGTCACCTCTGAGGCAGAGACACCTGATGAACTTGTAAATTAGTTCTTCTATGCAACTTTTTGCTTTACAAAAATGTTGATATACTTAAAGAAATCAGACAAAACTGATGTGGAGAACAAGTCATATATTCTGAGCATGAGAGGAAGTCTCCAACATATAAATGGAAAATTCATCTGATAAGCTGATTTGTAATAATAAATGAAAGCTGATCATTAAAACCAAGGAATTACAGAAAAAGTGGGATCAACAGCAAACACCTAAGGGTGAGTACTAGGGGCTAGGTTTTACTATTACGTATTAGATTTTGTCCTTAATATTCATCCTTATCTCCAGAGGTACACAACAAATCACCAAGAGACTTCAAATAAGACACACAAATAAAAGCGGAGGAGAGTAACCCAAGCCAGTAACTGTACTGTCAAATAGGAGCTGGGGGCTGGAGAGACAAATTAGACACATAAGATGATGCTGTTTGGAAAAAAAAAAAAAAAAAAAAAAAAAAGGAAACTCTTCTTTTAGGATTTGGTGATAAGGAACACTGAAAGCAATACACAGTAAGTAACCATTCTGAGATTCTACTGCAATGAGATTTCAGTATTTGTAATGGAGCAACAAGACTAAAAACTTTGAAAAACACAACTTCCAAAGAAATCAGGTTTAATCTTAAAAATACCAAAGCAATACATGAGATCCAAAAACCTGGTGTGTGAAGGATGGTTACACAAAACTTATACATAGAGAAACAAGCATGGACTGCAAAAAAAGCATATACAGAATGTATTAAGAAATGCCAAATTATTAGAAACAATTGAAATATTAGAATATTTACTGCAAAGCAAAAAAAAAAAAAAATATGCCCAGGAAATAGATTTGACAAATGACTTCTGGAGATAACCTAAGAATATTTAATCATCAGTTAGTGCAGTGACATCCTGTGGTAATATTCTGCCCTACTTATTTGTGATGAAGAACCTGATCTCGAAAAATAAACTTGGGGAACATATCACTAAATTATATAGATAATCCAGGTATCCAGTGGTAAATGTCAAACAAAACCCGCAAACTGTTAATTACTTATGATACTAACTGAGGTCTTGAGCTGCTTAAAGACTCCTTCATATGACTGCTTTAGTACTTGTTAGGGAGAGAAATCAAGAGAATAGACGTGGAGGGTAGTTTTCACATAGCTGCCAGGAAAGTTAATAACCTAGTCACAGTCACTGTAGGCATGGGCTGAAAAACTGTGAGCAAATTCAGCAGGCAGATTAAGATCACTGATCAACTGATATTCCAAAAGAGACTTCTTTCTTGAGAAAAGACTACGTTACACATACAAACCGGTTTTATAAATTGTAACTAAAGGGTCGCAATAGTTCCTCTTAATCCAGAAGTGTGCACTTGTAAGAGTGAAGTTATTTTATTTAAGACCCTATTCATAAATTTTTCTCTGCAATTATGAACTGCTTTAGGACCTGCAAGTATTCTTTTTTTAATTCTCCCCAGTACAAAAGTGTTTCAGACAAAACTATTTTAAACAAATAAGAAGACTCCGTCTAAATTAGAACAGAAATTAGAACAAAAAGTGCACACAAACTTACCAAATAAATTGGTTTTCACAGTGATAGACAAATGAGTGTTATTTCTAAGGATTTCCATGGCTTTTGACAGCTGAATGTTTTCAAAGTTTTGACCATTCACTTCCAGTATCTAAAAATGCAGACAGGTAGTGTTATTTTTATTTAATGAAGAGAAAGGAAACAAAAAAGGGAAAATAAATTAATTTTTAAATTACATACCTGGTCTCCACGTTTCAAGCCTGCTTCTGTAGCTTTGCTACCAAAATCTACGCTGTCAACAAAGATTCCAAATCCCTTTTCTGACCCTCCCAGCAAGATAAAAGGCAAAGGGGCTTCTCGAGATGGCTTTGTTAAGGTTATCAATCTTCGTTTAGCTTTAGCAGCACAAGCAATATTTAACAGCCTCAAATGTCCACCCATTTTCTACAAAAGAAAAGCATAATGAGTCATAAGCCTGGCTACTCCCTGACATCCTAAACTGTCAGAAAAAAATCCCTCACTCTTACCTCCCTCTCCAAATTGTTCTCAAATTCTTCCAGAAATCGAGTCATAGCAGGATCTCCTTCAAAATCATTGAAGTGATTGTTCACCCACAACAATACTACCCGTGTAACCTGAAAATTAATCAAGAATATAAATATCTTCCAGGAACACCCAAAACAGCACTACTGCGAAGTCCTTTAAAAATACTGCTTCTAGAAGCCCCTATAAATTTCCACTAGAATCCTAAATATTATATATATACACCCAAACCTGACTTTACTAATATGCAATCATTTACCAGGAGGACAGAATTAATTAAGTATTAACATTGCTTTTACTTGTATAACCAAGTGTATGTTATAGTTCATAAAGAATACTGTGAGTTAGAAATTAACACTGGCTGTATCAAGTTGGATTGAGTAGGGAGTAGAGAAGACAGGCTCCATAAGGCAATGAGTTAGATCCATTTCTGACTTAAAACAACAATTTCCTGTTCACGTCCATTTCCAAATCTCCTTAATTCTTTGAGCACATGATCATAAAGCTTCTGACAGCGCTTTATATTGGCTCTTGAACCTCACAAATCTTCGGATAAGCCACCATTAACTTCATTAGGTATTCACCTGTGTAAAAGAGCTACTGTATGTTTAGAGGGACAGGAAGAAGGATCTTTCGTGAGAAGTAGGAAAGAGGACCTAACAGCAAATACATGCAATTCTTTTCCTTCGAGTAAATCTTCCAGTTTACTACTCCTCCTTTCCCTCCATCCCTACTTCCTCCAAACAACTATGACTATCAAGTTCAGAACAATCTTAGTTGGGATTTTACAGTTTGCCAGGAAAAAAAACCCTAAAGGAATACTATCAATTAATATTACTGAAGGTAAAGTGACAAAATAAGAGCTAAAATTTTCAAAAATATATGCTTCCATTATAACATTTTATCTTGCTATGCAATTTGACCTAGAACATCAGCAGGACTTGTCTCAAATTAATATTGATTCAAGCTATTTTTAAAAGCTCCCGAATACAAAATGGATGTGTCACTGAAAGTTATCTTAAAAATACAGCTGCATTTCTTCTGTTATGCTGGGAAAACAAGTTCATAGGGGAAAGCCCCTAAACATTTCAAAAACTGGAGCTTAAAAAGTAAATCTCATAAAAATTGTAATCGGCTAAAGCTAACCACTGTCTGTTCTCTGCATTTACACAAAATCTAAACCTCTGCAGACTCCTATGCTAAAGGCACAAGGCATCCAAAAACCAAATGCTGCCACCATCACGGGAGCTGTTTAGTTTATTGTGTTTATACAGTTTCCAAATAGTTTTCCTTTTATCCCAGAAAAGCAAGCGAATTCAGAATTGCTGAAATTCATGACCAAACTAGTCAAGTACTTCAGAACTCCTTGACACTTCAGGTTTCTATCAGGAGACAAATGCAGAGCGTTACGTGCTGCAGCGCCCAGCCTCAGGGATGTAGGCTAAGAGTAGCATTTCTGACATATTTGAGATTTTTGCACCTTGGAAATTGAAGATGAACTTCCTTCCTGTTAAACATCTGTGGTGTTTTTCATAAATGAGGATGACATTAGAAGATCCATAAATGTCTGGTTAAATTTAGTCTAATTGCAGATTTTAAAAATCGGCTGGGAAGTTGCAAGCCATACCACATAATATATTTTAAATCACTGCAGTGACAGCTGTCACAGTTGGGACTTACTACTGTACCCAAAAGACACTGCGCTGGAAAGGGCTGAACAGTGACTTCCAAGAGAACGTCATTACTTGTGTCACAACCAGACGCAGCATTAGAAGAGGATTAAAGCTATAAAGTCAAGTAACCTGCTGCTGGGCAAAATCCTCAGTAAGGCTGGATCTCAAATGTCCCAGTTCGATTCCTACTGAGTTCTGATTAACCTCAGGAAGTTTTACTCTCCCTTTTTCCTCTTCTCACTGCCTATCAGCCCCTAATACAAACCAGCCAAAATCTTCCAGATTCCATATTCCTCACTTGCTTATCTCTGCTTGTCCCAAGCTGCTCTCTGACTCCTGCCTTTTTGTCAGCACTCCTCAGCGTCAGAAAGGGTTGGTTACTGAGACAGCTGAACAAAGAGCTGCTCTGTTTTCATACCTGATACCAGCAAATGCACTGGCTCATGCTTTTACAGAGGCTGAGGGGATTATCCATTGGAGGACAAAAAAAATAAGTTTAATGATTAACTCCCAATATTACAGCTCTGAAGCTGTAACAAGCCTATGCTAAACAATATTTGCTGCAAAGCCTATCCTCTCCGCCAAATCTAAGATCCTTCCTCCAAGCCACAGCTATATTAGCATTTCTAGAAGAAATATCCAGATTTAAATAAAAGTTGAAAACCAAGTTTCTCTTTAACCTTATTGATATAATTCTCTTGGTTTCAAAATTGGAAAAAACATCTGGAAATTTTTACTTGTTTTTTTTACATATGAGAAAGTCACATACTAGCAAAAGTAAAGCATTACAGTGTGAAAAACAGCATAGCCTCAATAGACAGCGTGCCAAAACTGGATATACAGGGTCTTATTCTTCCATTACAGCAGTTTTGTTTAGGGAAGAGGATGTTTGATTGCTTTCTTGTGTCTGGGTGGGTTGTTTTTTTTTAATGCTGTGTAAGGCTCAACAGATTCTTAACAATGGCTATATTTTTTAGTGTCTTTATGCAAGTGTTTCCCAAGTTGTGTTAACTGGAATTATGTATAGAAAACACAGAACTTAGTTACATGCTCAAATTTTGAGACACAATAGAATTCTATTGAATTATATTAAATAAAAATATTAATTACAGGAAAAAAGCTTTCCCTATACTTGAAAGCAAGTAAGTTATGTTGTAAAAACACAGAAAGGTAGAAGACTGATAACTTACCTTGCCTGAACACACTAATATTTAAATAAAATACAATAAAATAAAGGAAAAAAATATTCTTAGTTTTATCCATATATTCTGCCATTAAAATATTTCACCAGCTATTTGTGTCTCACTCAGTCACTCCCTCTAAAACTTCTTTTATTCTTAATAGCCTATATGTCAATGCAAATGCTAACAGGTATGTAGTTCAGGGGATTTTAACCTTGTCCCTGAGGCTGGGGTCATTGAACCACTCCAACAACTTCTTGCCCACTTCCATTGGGCTGGAAAGAAAGGTCCGATACGTCAACAGGAAGTCTTCTATAAATGTTGGGTCTACCACAGAATGTTCTTCCACCAAATGCATTGTTAACCTTTCAGCTGTTCCCTATTAAAAAAAAAAATCAAACAAACCTTAGTTATTAAAATAGATTTTCAATAAATGCAAATTTGTTTTCTCCTAACATACTGAAGATGTACTACACTAGGAAGAATACTGGCATTTATTAACTGATGTGCTCAGCAAACATAAAAGCTTTACTGTTGTGATAAGAAATGCAAAAAATGTCTGTAATTTAATTCCATAGAAATCACTTAGTTATGAATGTGCATAACTGTAAAGAGAAAAATAAGAAATATTAGCTGCCTATTTTCAAATCAATATTTTTATAATATATATCTCAACTAATCCCAGACTTAACTTGCCAAGTTAAGAAGTTTATAGAACACAGACTTTTGCAAGACCCTCCCTTTTTTGCTTTTACCTTGATGACAATGTGACCTTTTCTCGTTCCAGTGCGGTCAAGCTCCCTGTGCTCCTTCACCATCACAATCTCCCCTTCCTCTTCCACCTTCTGCATGTTCTTTTCCACTTGATTGAGGATGCGGCAGTAATCTTGCTGGGCTATACAAACAAACTGGAAAGAATCATTGCGCACCAGTATTAGAAGGCAAAATCTTCAGAAAATAATTTAAACTTACGATGCAAGTACTCTATTAATAGAAAAGACAAAGTAGCTTCTCAACCTGCGGTGAGCCAAATTTGTCTTTCCAGCAGTTCAGCTGTAGTAAGCAGATGCATACACAAGCACAGTACTTCCACTACAATCTTGCAGTTAGAGGAGACCAAGATTCATCAGAACAAAATTATTTAGCATTATAAGCCATTTTTGTTTAGCTGCTTGAACCTCCCCTCTACTGGAGACAAAGCTCAGTATCCTTGCTGGTATTTTTATTCTGTTGCAAGATTTTGTGTGGTATTTAGAAGAGTTAAGACATTGAAGGGAAAACCCAGATGTTCAGTATTTGTGCCTATTGCTACTATAATAATTTCCATTTTTCATAGTTATTATTAATAAAGTTAATCATTAAGAAAACTAACATTTACTCAATTATATGAGTGCGGGCACACAGAAACAAATTAATTCTTGATTGAAGCATACAGCAGGAAAAAATATTTTCCACAATCTTCTGCTCAACCAAGAATAAGAACAACTATCTGAAGAATATTCCTAGCACCTGCACTATGCAAATATAATTACGACTACCTACTACAACTTAGGAAAAAGCCCGAACTGTATACACTATGAATTGTCTTCTGTAACTTGCTAAAAGTTTTATATCTTTGTCTCTATTTTGGGGCAAATATTCAAGATTAAACTGTCATCTTATACGAACTTGGCATTCAACTGAGTGTTTCTGCTGATTGAAAAGTTGATAAATGATCATGTACATACTTAGGACAAAGGCATGAGATTCACAAAAGATAGTGTTTTCTCCTGCGTTCTTCATAATTAATTTACATACTTTTTCTACTTTCAGCAGCTAGTAGTAGCTGAAACAGAACTCCCACAGTTTGCATTTCTTGCAAGACATCATCCCAACAAGATACTATTTATGCACCTTTTGGAAATTAAATGGGCAAACTGAACCAGGTGACTACATTAACACACATTTACATCCATTTCAAATGGCATCTACTGGAAATTAAATAGCTATCAGGATCAAGCAAAATGTTTAATTTACCCAGGGTTTGGCTAATATCTTCTGGATTGGAATAGGTAAATAGCAAGTGCATATCCAGATGAGGCTAGTAGCTTAATGCTATGAGAAGGGTTCCTTAAATCTGATTACTTGTATTACAGCAAACATCAAGGCATTTTCCTTGGAAGGCCAGACTGGCTGAAACTCGATTTTCTGCTCAAACCATGGGACAGAGAGCCTGTATTACACGTTAAGATTCAGTAGCTGAGTTGAGTAAGGAAGAATGGCTATTGCCTGTAGAAGTCAAAGAGCCTGTAATGGCTAATGGACCTTGAGTTCCTAAGGGAAAGTTTGAAGCAATGCATAGATGCAACAGGCTGCTGGACCTCAAGTTCTGGAGAAAGCATGTAGACAAACCTCTTAATTCAAAATAATGAAGAGAATTCAATTTCCCAGACTGTGAGTAGGCAGGAGCCATGCTTCCCAACTATTGAACAGGGTTACACACTGGAGATTTTACACATTTTCAGTTTAAATTAAAACTGTGTCTGGCGATTGAGTTGCATTAGGCCTATATGTACATGGTTTTGCGTGTATTGCAGTCTGACACACTACCTGGCAGTCATCCACTTTGGTTCTCATCACTCCTTTCATATATTCCTTTTCCATGGTAGGGGAAACACCAAAACTGTTCCCCATGCAGAGTATCTCTGTTCTTCCATCAGGGTATGTCACCTCCACGGAGCCATTCAAAATGACCGACCAGGAATCCAGCTACAAATCAAATGTTGCAGGATACGTGAAGACTGAATTACTTAACATTGTGATATTATATGGTATAGACGCAACCCTTACCATTTTTCCAAAGGAAAAGTTATTTTTTAGCACCTATTAAAACCATTTATAAGCTAGTTTACCTTAAATGTGCAGCTATTTCCAGCTCAAGAAAACTGCAATCCTATGTTTAACTATAATGTTGAGGTTATGTAAGACTGTAAAAAAAATTTAAAATAACAACCCCAAAATAAAAAAGGTGGTTTTAAAACACCACTTAAACACTGAAATAAACTCCCAAAATCAGGTCCAATAGGCAGAAAGCATTTTGTACATTATGAAGAATAGTTTCTTATCCTTTTATTGCATAAGAAATGTTGTGTGATTGCTTTAAACAAAACCTTTCAAACAAAAAGAGGCATAATTTACCTGATCAATGTTCCTTTTTATTTTTAAATTTTTAAGCAACAAGAGAGGACCTTAACTGTGGAATCTGGGATGCCTGGTATAATAGGAAAGTCCAAAGTAACTTCTACTGACCTCTTCCCCATCGTTTAGTACAATAGTTCCTGCTCTCTCCACAACTGCAAACACCATTACAGCACAGAGCTCTCTCCTCACTGACATTGTCATGTTGGCAAAAGCAGGCAATTGATGCATGAATTCCAGTAGTTGTTCTGAAGGAGAAAAAGCCCACTGAGTCGTGCACGTCAAAACAACAAAGTACAGCAAAGGCAGTTCTTCAGCAAGATGCCTGGGGCTACTTAAGCTAAAATGCTGCACAATCGTTTCTGTATACTAATAAATCATGTACAGTGGCCTGTTGTAATTACTGCGTAATTTGTAGACACAGGCTGGTCATATCATCAATAGAAACCCTGCAAAGTAAAAGTCAGCATAATGGAAGAACTGTAATGCAACCAAGAGCGCTGAATACGACCAATGAAGCCATAACACTCCAGCCAGCCAGGGCAGTAAGTCCACGCAGACTGTGACAGGCCTAGATAAAACACAGTAAGACATTAAGAAGGGAAATTTCACAAAACTGAGCAAGTTCATTGGTAAAGCCATCCTTTCCTAGGCTAGCCCTAACAGTAAATTGTACATGATCGTCACCTGGCACAAAGTTCCAGAAAGAACTGGATTACTGTCTTAAAGGTGACTACTGCTGCTCTGTCTCCTGCATGCACTGGAGGTGCACTTGTACTCAGCTGTGAACTTCTGTATTTTTGCTTTTTACACTGTTTGTAACTACAGAGCTCATTTTCTCTTAGTAGTCCTGCTGAGGGACTATATGCCCTAAAGGCTAGACATTTCTGCATGAAAAAATGTAGCCAATAGGACCCCATCTTCTTCCTAAATTTTTATTCACTCAGAATCACTGAATGGTTGAGGTTGGAAGGAACCTCTGGACACCATCTGACCAAACCCGCTTGCTCAAGCAGGGCCACCTACAGCCAGCTGCCCAGGACCGTGTCCAGATGGCTGCTATATACCTCCAAGGAGGGAGACTCCACCACCTCTCTGAGCAACCTGTGCAGTGCTCCGTCTTCCCCACAGTAAACAACAACAACAAAAAAAAGTGTTTCCTGGTTGTCAAACAGAGCCTCCTCTGTTTCAGTTTGTGCCCTTTGCCTCTGGTCCTGTCACTGGGCACCACTGAGAAGAGCCTGGCTCTGTCATCTTTACACCCTCTCTCCAGGTATTTCTACACATTGACGAGATCCCTCTGAGCCTTCTCCTCTCCAGGCTGAACAGTCACAGTTCTCTTAGGCCCTTCTCATATAAGCCATGCTTCAGTCTCCTAATCATCTGATAATTAACCTCTAGTTATACTTTGACAAAAGAAAAAAATTAAAACTCATCCAGTGAAACAGATTAGATTAGAAATTGTAAGAATTGGAATTGTAGTTCTGCTTTGCTTTCAGTGCATTAGCCTGCACATTAACATAGCAAATTAGTTTGATTAGATGCACATTTACGTAAAGGTCTCCAATGTTTAACACAAATGTATATCCTTGGTTAAAAACAGACACAACACCACAACTTACAAATAAAAAATTGAATGTGATAAGCATCCAGTGTTGACATTAATGTTGACTTTGCAAAGGTTCTATTTTCCAGTGTGCAATGATGTTTCCTTCACAAACCAGTTCTGATATCAATCACAAGTTGAAGCTTGAGATCTAAAGGGCCAGCAGCTAATATCTTTCACCCCATCATGGGTGTTTTTCTCTTCTTCTTTTGTTGTACTTATTCATTGGCTGAATTTACGGCATTTATGAATCAACGTTACAGAATAAAGGCTAAACTTACCAACTATAAAAGCCAATGACTAAAACAAAACCTCAAGCTCAAAAAGTAATTTTTTTTTTGTGAATTAGAAGAAGTTTGATAGTGTTCTACTACACTGCAGTACTTACCAATGTCATCATCTGTCCTGTCTATTGGGTCTTTCTCCAAGCAGTCTCTAACAATATCCCTACTCATCAAAGGATCCGATGCCCTTTCAATATCTTCTTCATCATCATCATCCTCAGAATCCACTGCTGTCTCTGGCAACCCACTGAGATCCATATCACCAGCCTCACTTTCTGTAGCCTAAATTCATGTATAAACAATTAAAAAAAAAAAAGAGAAAACATTCAAATATGTTTTTCACTGCTTCAGTTTTCTAGTTAAATACACAGAAATGAATTCTATCACCTAATAGGTCACTCAAATTCACTCAATATTTTTAATATTGCTTTTTCTTTATATTTTTTTAAAGCAACTAACCATTAATCAACCCAAATCCATTCTTTAAATAGGGCTTTTAACACTTGTTTCAATCAGCCACATGGAAACAGGATTCAACACATATTATTTAATCAGTAGGTCTTGGGGGAATTGAAGGCAGTTATATTTCAAAGAACAATTTATTGCAATATTAGCTGATTTTTTTTTTTTTAAATAAACAGTTCATTTAAAACCGTTTGCTCTGTTCCCACCCCAAATTTACATTTTCAGACACTTAGAAAGGCAATGCAATTTTAAGTAGACAGTTTGGGGAAATAAGTACAGCATCAAAACGCTACAGGAATTTTGCCATGTTCCAGTAATCTAGGACTGCTTTGTGGTTTGCTGTTTTTGAGGGGTTTTTTTTACAATTCACGTTCACCACAGTTAAATACGGCTTCCATTTGCTGATAAACAGTAGAAGAATTTACAGATGCAGAAAAAAATGTGAAGTCACTGCTTAAACACCACAGATGGACCACACTGAATATCTGCCAAACTTAACCTCTGCTAAATTGTATTGAAATGAAGGAAAACATAGTCCATATATAGCCTGAGGTCATTAGCATAGCACCTAAAAGTAAAACTAAATCATTAAAATGTATTTAAGACCAAACACTTAATAAATCCCACAAACATTTGTCTGTCATGGCTGAAAAAAGATGCTTTTTCTTAGAACCTGATGTAACAGAATTGCAGCTGCCAAGGCTCAGCTACAATTTTTAAAGAAATGCAAGCTTCTAACAGGCAAGTTTTGAGCCATGGCTTGAGAAATCAAGTTACCGCAGTCCTTATGGGGATGGTTTGTTTCCGACACTCTGGAAGCACACAATGCATTCATGTCTACTTTTAAAACACTACATGGAACTACAGGTACTAAAGCACACTGGTAAAAATAACCCACTCAAAACCAGGTCACCCTCCAAACACAGAGAAGGTAAGACAAATTAAGTTTGCATTTTTGTAGAACCATCTTCCCTATTCCTGCCTCACTAGCCGCGGCTGACATCTGTTACTTTAATGCCATCATACACAGCCACCTTATGAACAGCTGGAGAGGGATCAGGGCAGCTAGTGCCACTTTTAAATGCTTCTGTCCCACAGCACAACACAAGCTTTCTAACTGAGTCTTGTTAATATAAAAAGCATGTGATAACAGCACCCACACAGTATTCAAGTTATTCTCACTTTGTGGTTTTGTTGTTGTTGTTGGGGGTTTTAAGAAAAAAATGCTGCACATTTCTTAAGCAGGATAAAGAAGGATGTTATACTGGCATACCAACCACAAAAATCTTATCACTGATAGCAGTATTTTCATTAGCAGTCTTACTGTGGTTAACATGCGTGTTCTCTGTGATACATTTGAAGCAGTTGCTCTACCTACTCTTACAAAATAGCCTTCATCAAAAGTGACTGGTGGAAAAATTAGTGACGATGAGTCAGTAGACACACAGCTTATGACACTGATCTGCCAGAATCAGAAGTCTCCAACAGTGACAATTACAGTGACAGTGGGATTGAATAATTCACAGTCAATTTTGCAAACCTTCCCATTACTAACAAGCGTCCCTCCTACCTGCCCAGATTAAGCTGTCTCAAAGGCACGTTAGTAAAAAGAATGCAGAACTACATTTAGTCACACAATGCTAACATACATGACAAAATTCCACATCTGATTATTAAAAGGCAAGTTATTAGACTGTCTTAAAATGATAAAACCGGACAGAAGTTGAAGTTCTATCATCAAGAAAAGTTGACGCTATTTAAAAAAAAAACTCACACTGAAATTAAATACAACTTTGTAACCAGAAAACACATTAAAAATACTACTAAAGCCTACAAGCATTTCCTGAAGACGACCACTTTTTACAGAGATAATTAAATCTTTTTGACAATGAAAGATATTGGTAGAAACCTGAATAATAAAGCAACTATTTCTAACTTACTAGTTACCAGAAACTACACACTACTGCAACAAAGCTGAGAATTGAATGCAACAATGCACAGAGCAGTATGAAAATTTATTAATTTAAGACACCTTTAAAAATAAACCTTATCCTTTGAGAAAAAAAAAAACCTCACAAACTTTTTTTCAAGCAACTTTCTGAAAATGTTAGGATTATATAAAAGTTAGCAAAGGAACATAAATGTAGCCTTTCCACGTAGACAATATGCATCCATAGCAGTAAAGAATCAAACAACTCATCCCATGAGGACTCCTCCATACAAACTATACAAAAGTTTTGTATGAGTTTTGTTACATTATTAAGAATAATTGGATCTGCCTTCATGTTAAAAGCACACAGCAATTTATCAAAAAAAAACCAAACCATTGCAAATAGCTCCTTTAGGCTTAGTAGCATCAAGTATGACATTAAAGATTCATGGTCCCCTTCTTGACACATTACACTTCATAACCCACCTACTTCGAGTACTTTTGTACTCCCTCAAGAGTTCGAAAAATCAAGTATGTCCACACAGGAACCCTTAGTTATGAAGCACTAGCCATGCATTTGTGTAAGACTAAAGGGATAACCTCACTTAGCTCCTTTGAGGACAGAGAATTCCTTATAAAATTCCTCAGTAGAAAATCCAGAACACAAGATGAGTACCCTGCAGAATTCATACTATATTCAATCATGAGGCTTATTGCTTCCCAGGGCATTTAATCAAGGATGAAATACACCTTTAGAAATCAGTGCTTTCATAGGTGCATGTTGTCCTTTGTTTCCTGGGTAATAAGAGAAATTAGCTTCACTTAAATAAGTCTAAAAAGACCGCATGCGAGAAAAATGCTAGTTGCAGCTTAAAGTATCCAGCAGTGTCTCTTCAAAGTCTGAACACCAGTAGCAATGAAAATTTTCTTTACAGCTGGAAAGATGGCATGAAAAATTTGCTGAAGCTTCAAAGGACTCACATAATGACAGCCTAATATTTTATTTGCCACAGCATCAACAAGAAAGTCAGGAGACATAAGAAAGACAATTTCAAGCCTGAGGTGAAGAGTTATTTCACATTTGGTACCTAAGGAGGCCTGCCCAATTTTAAGCACTGTTTATAAAGGTTAATACTGTAATACAAAAATGGTTGTTCCAGATGCTAAGGATCTCCAAGACCTAAGTAAATTCTAGATTTGAGTGGTAACAGCTAACTAAACAAATACCATGAAACAACTAGTAAAAGACGGAGAGTAAGGGACCCTTGTATAAATTTTCTCAGCCTTTGACTCCTTGACTGACTCTAGGAAGAAAAAAAAAATAATAAAAAAAAAGAACTATCATTCATTCCCCTCAGGTCAAACTGGGTAAAGACTGGGGAAATGGAAAACCCTGTTGGTCCCTTTAGACCTGTATGAGGGAAAAGTGATTAAGCCCAACTCTACTGATCTTTCACTTTTTGGAGGCATCATGAACACGGACATAATGAGAGAGGTGATGGACTACATGAACAGCTAAAGAAGATGACCTCCTTTACTGTCTCATTTCCCTCTCCAATTTTTGGGTATTAGTTGAGAAAAAGATCAGAAGAGTCCAAGGGGGATGTTGGCTTATCCAACAGATCTATACCTTTACAATCAAGTAGCTCTCTCTCCCACATTATAACCCCTTCATCACACTTGTCTGCACACACATACCAGCCTCACTATGGAAAGAAAGTGGGAGGACTTGAAGAATTGCTTACAAGAAGACTGGCTCTGTTTTAGATGGCCTTCAGAGTTTTCTTTTCTACACTAGTTAAGGGAAAAAACTTCCAGTTGATCTTAACAACACAAAGAGAAAAAACTAGAAAACCTTTAAAATTAACCACATTAACTACTGATTTCTTAGCATTTTAAACATAATATTTTAGCCTAGACTTTTAAAAGAATTTTTGTTTTAACCACTTTCTTTAGGAAACATTAAGAAAAAATAATGCATCATTTTGAATAAAAAATCCCCTTTGTGACTAATACCATACCACCTAAATCGATAATCCAAAATCTCCGAATATACAAGAGAAAAATACTGGGAAAAAAAAAAATGAAAAAGGCAGAGAAGACACTTGTTGCACGAACCAGAAACACATTCATTGTCTGCTGCAATCTCTCAATTCCATGAAGCTAACACAGAAAGCAGCCAAGCTCAGCTCAAAAAAAACCACCTCCACCTTATTTTTCCATCATTGCAGTTTAAGGGATAAAAAATTAACTATAAAATGAAATTGAAAATGTTTATTAGTGATTTTTTTTAAAATTATAATTTATAAACCAATACTTATACAAAACACCAAGACCCCTGGCACTATGCCTCTTGTGAAATCACTTGCAAGAGTTCCATTAGCTTGAAAAATTTCCTCCTGCCATTATACTCGCACATTGGATCCAGCTTTTCCACAGAGAGAGACCATAGCTAGGGTTTTGTTTTACATTATGTTTCAACTCACAGGGCAACAGCTTACAATACAAATAAATTGCTATGAAATTAGATCCATATAATTATGTTTGTTAAAGACTTATCATATATAAAACAATAAATTATTACATGCACACAAATCATAAATCTAAGGTGGTAAAATTATTTTTTCATATTCTACTAACATGAGTGCAAATGGTCATATAATACCTTCAAACTCCTAGAGTCTAAGATTTTTACTGCTTTCTCTTTCATATTTATTCTCTCATTATCGACTACCAAATTCACAGCACAGCAGCCCACATCTGTCACAGGAGCCAGTCTGAGCACTATTCCTCCCTAGAGATGGAAAAATGTAGTAATCCAGACAATGCACACCAGGAACGGCATCCTCCCCTATCATCAGCTAATTGCTGTCTTTTTGAAAATGGAACAACATTTGCTGAGACTGCAGGCATACAGAACAAGGACTCTGAAAGTCACTCCTAGGCTATTAATTGCAGAACAGATTAGAGCACCCAAACTCACCAAGGAACTGCACAGGACCCAGC